TGGACGTTGACATTTATGAAGATTAAGTCCTAAGTCCATCAATTGTACATATGTACATCAAATTTGGTCCAATAAGGCTCTTTTTTGGGGGAAATCTTTCCAGAAATGTAATCTCAATACTTTGTAGGAATACATTGGTAAGGGGGAGAAGGTGGGAGCAGGGAGGCCCTATTTCTTACCATGCTTATAAAATCCTGCATAATATCAGAGTAACAGTATGATAAGCTCATAAACAATTTCCTATTGGTATATTCTATATATTCTTTTCAAGAAATTACCCCACCCACTCAGGAACAGTATTACAAACACTACTGGATTCCAGGTGTATGTGGCAATAGTAATGGTAAATTTCTCACATGTGCTTTTAAAATGACCATTGTATACTTGATGGTAATCAAGTTTAATAATTCCAATTGTTAACAACTCAAATTGTCACTGCGACTAGGAAGCTGTTACCCTTTTTCTGGGTGACTACTTTTAAGAAACTTCCAAAAATGTTGTAAAATGCTTATCAATAAGGTTTAGGATTTAATCTTTAAATATTTAAAAAACAAAGTTGGTGTATTTAGTCATTAAATAAAACATTTGAAACTATTTTGCCCTTGCCCTAGCAAAAAATTAGGGATTGGTCCAAGATACTTGTCATTGGAATGTATTCACATGACTGGCCGTCATAGCAAATTTTAAACTAAATGGAGAAATAATTGTGCTGGATTTAACTAGTCTGATGGGAGATGAAGCATCTTACAGGTTGCCTGTTTTTGCCCTACCCTGTCCATTTAGCACACTAAGGTAATGGGAGTGAACTGCAGCCACATCAGACTTCATACAGATAGTGTGTATGAAGTTAGGGCCATAATGGAGCCTGCCCATAATGTCAGTAACTTGTGATGGTTGTAAATCAGGTCACCCATGTGATCAACCCTTGTGGTCATTAAGTAATTCCACAGCTTCTTTATGTTGTTCAGCTGGGACCCTTACTCCAATTTTGCTTCATCAAAACTTATACAATCTAAATATGTAATATCAGCAGCGATTCACATCTATAAACATATATTTAATGCTACCTAATGTGACTAGGGACAGGCTTCAGGTGTCCCTAGCCACACTCTAGTGGAAACTATTGGGTCAGACGGACCTCTTTTCCCCTTGACTTTGCCCCATTAATTATGAGGGATGATTTTCAATCCACCTGCAATTACGGTTAAAATCTCCAATTTGTTGTCTCTTCTGATCTTCTATTCACCATGGGATATAGTCAGGCAAAGCACTTATTAAACAGTACGTAGACAGAGAGTGCCAATCGAATCTACCAAGGAGCCCAAACTTTATTGCCAGGGAATCCAAAAGGTATTCTCCCTCCCTTATGGCATACTTAACTGTTGTGGCCCAGCAGGATCCGGTTGAGCTGCTGATGGACTCAGATAGCGAGGAACCATATGAGTCTGCCAGGGANACAATTTCTTCTTCCACAGTCGCTCAACTTCAATTTGCAAGTCCCGGTACTTTGTAATTTTTTTCTTGCTGTTTATCTTCAATTTGTGCATCTCCAGGTATTGCAATGTCAATGAACCATACTTTTTTTCATTTCAACTATTGTTATGTCAGGTGTGGACCAAGTGCCTGTCAGTCTGAATTCTGAAATCCCACAAGATCTTGACTTTCTCATTCTCTAAACCCTTCTGAACCTGATGTTCCCAGTGCTTTTTTGCTGTACTCAAATCCAAACTTTTGGCACAATTTCCAGTGAATGATCTTAGCAACGCGGTCATGGCGTTTTAGGTGGTCAGTTTGTGAAATTTTGCTTCACCCACTGATCATTACAGAGGCGACATTTGCTGTTGGTGGTAACATGTTGAATTTCATTATATTAGTAGTAGTAGTAGTAGTATCATCACCACTGTTGTTTTGCATGTACATTGAGAGCTTATGCACCATAGACAAATTCCTTGTGTGTTTAATCACACTTTATTTATAATAAATACTTTATTTACGCCAATAAATAACGCGTAATAAATACTTTATTTACGCCAATAAAGTATTCTATTATTAATAGCCAAGAAAATCATCTTTCAAGATACAATTAATAGTTGAGTATTCTATATTACATGAACATAATACAGTTAGTATTGAAACATGACCATTACTTCCAAATTCAACAAAGGAATTCAAAGGAAAGATAATTTTTTCGCTTATATTGTAGATATAGATATGTATACTATCCTATTCATTCTATGTATTATTCAAAGGATTAAAAAACACACTACCTTATCTTTCTGTATTTCCTGTAACAACTTCTCTTGCTCTTTTAGTTGCTTTTCTTTTTTGGATACATCCTGTTCCAGTGCAGATCTTATTGTCTTAAGTTCTTTGATCAATTGATTTTGATTACTAATTTGATTTCTATTAGAAATCAATTCTTCTTCACCCAAAGTTAGCTTCTCTTCTGTAACCTAAATTGAAAGCAAAGAATCACTAACACTCCAGAGCTACTTCATGAGTTACAACTGACAATGTTCTTTTAGGTGAAAGATGAATAAAACACCTATATGAATTACATTAAAGGTCTGCTAGCAAAGTATCACAAGAATATATCACTTCAGCTGACAAAAATGGTCCGCAAAAATACAACTACCAGCAATGGAAGAAAAAAAATGCTGTACTAATGGTATGTTTTCTTATTCATTCATTTGAGACTTTTGAAAACCCTCCCTGCATTCACAGGTTCCTAGACCATCTGCCATCAGTAAAATACAATTAAACTTTTGAAAATGAGTCCAGTTTGATGTAGTAGTTAAGGTGTTGGCCTAGAAACCAGGAGACTGTTAAGTTCTAGTCCTACCTTAGAAATCAAAAACCATCAGGATGTCTTTGGGTCACTCACTCTTTCTCAGTCCAGGTCTTTATAATTCTGATCAGTGAAATTGGGTTACACAATAAAATATTTATTCTTGTATTAATTCACCATGCACAGCAAACAGCAAGTATACTGTCCCAGCATACTTCTCTCCTACACTAGGCCTTTCCAACTCATGGCTGCATCTAGCCCTGGACAGCTCATAACGCGGCCTCACAAAGTCATAAACTTTTAAAATTATTGTGTGATTTATATATACATTAACTATGTATTTTATGTGCAGTCTAAGACAATGCCTCTCCATTCCATGAAGCCCAGGTAAGCGAAAATATTAGACACCCATGTCCTAGACAGAAAAAGAGTGATGGGAGAACTGATTCAGGATGAGAGTTTATAACTGAAATAAGAAAAAATATGTCAAGAGATGTGAGGAACAGAAAACTTTATACTCTTTGCCCCAACAATTTAATTCCTACCAGATCCTTATTTTACATAACAAACAATAGTTTAACAAAGATTTTAAATTACATTTAACTACTAATCGAGATACTTTATACATAAAGAAGCTACAAATGAATGAACCCTATTGCTACTTGCTGGACTTTTTAATTATATCCTTTAATGCTTAAATGTACATTACACTCCAAATTCCAAGCTTTCTTCAACAATCATCTTAACTATATTACAACTTTACTAGGAAAGTAATGGAAAAGCTTGTATCAAAATTATTATTTTCACCTATCTTCCAGCAGATGGTGCCATTAGCCAATAATGTTAATCCTACTATTCTAAATTTATTATTTTTTACATTACTTCTTCAATTCAATGGGTGCTTCATCACAATATAATCTTGGCTGTGGGTGAGTATACATGTTTGTGTGTTTACCAAAAAAAACCCTCTTACTATGTCCATGTCAATAAATGCCTCATAAACTATCACTAGCACCCATTTTCACACATAAAAATTAAACACTTCATATAGTCATTCCCATCCTCATTACATTTAATCTGTTTGTTTTAAAGTTATATTCCCCCATGTGCTGATTTTTCTAGGTAAGCATGACATTAAGTGGTCATGGCAAGTTGACCATGGTGAGTTGGTCACAGCGATTGGCTGAGACATGTTGTCCAAAGCTAAAATATTTTAACAAGGCCTGAACATTTTGATTACATAAAAAAATTAGAAAACTTGGGACAAGGAAAAATAAAATAGAATACATGGAGAATACATAAAATAAAATATATAGAGAGTAGAGTAGAGTAGAGCAGAGCAGAGCAGAACAGAACAGAATAGAATACATAACATAGATACATAAAATAGAATACATAAAATACAATACATGGAGCAATAGTTACAACTGAATAGAAAGAAATGAAGTACAGGGATTTGGGGCAAGTACAAGGATTCTTCTTTGAAATATGTTGTTAAGCTTCAACTTTTCACTAAAGTCCTAACCAAAAGAATCTTTTAACTTACACAATGCATACATACTGAGAGAAACATGTGCAGTCTCAAAACATAGTCATATACCTTAAGGTCTTGCCGGATAGCCAAGATTTCAGATTCTTTACCATAAATATCTAGCTGAAGTTTTTCCACATTTTCTTGAGCTTTTTTATGGAATTTCTGCAATTCTGTTATTTTTTCCTTCTGCCCAGCAAGGACTTGTTCTGATAATGTTATTTGTTGTTGCAATTTATTTTCCAGTTCTGCCTAATACATACATTCATAAGATATATTTCTCTTATACACAGGAAGATAATTGAGAAAACAGATAATAAGGTCATATATAAATGCTATTGCATTCAAACATTTGGGAAGCCAAATTGTATCATCTAATGAATCTATGGGTGAACAAAAGCAGAAACTTACATGCTAGAATGCTAAACATCTATTTTGTCTAATTTGTCTGCAAATTAGAATGAACACTTACTATTTATATTCAATTACTAAAGAGGAAAGTCAAAATCTATTTTTATCATTCCAGTGTGAGATAGTAATAAAAGATTGGCCTAAAGAATCCTTAGTTTCCATAATTTATTAGTATTTCATTTAAATTCACATTTGCCACTGAGCAGCAAATTATTTTCCAAGTATAACAACGCACTAAACATGTTAACAGATCTTCCTTAGGATATCTTGCTCTGAGGAATTATTCCACATGCCTATAAATTATATATGTAGGGAAAAACGCCTCCACAGATTATGCTTTTGATATGATGCCACAGCCAAAAATTATTAAGAAACATAAGTTATTATTATATACATAAAATTATTATGAAACAACAAAATATCTTGCATCAGACATAATATGGCATATAATGTTACTGAGAGATTATATGAATTTACCTTTTCTAATAGGGCTGTCTTTAATTCAGCTTGTTGTATCTCATTTTGTTTTTTCTTCTGGTCGAAAGATTCCTTCAATTCTTTTACCTTCAATTGAAGCTGTTGTTCATTTTTATCTTTGTCTTTGAGAATACCCTGAAGCTGCAGGATTTGCACACGTGCCGAATCAAGCTCTGTTGCTAGCTGTTTGGAAATCTAAATATTGAAATGTGGTATTACTTCAACACCATTCTATTATGGCAATTATTATTCTTTGATAGAAAATCTCATTTTTTTTCTCATGTTACTACTTCATTTTTCATAATAATAAGTACATATTTTTCAAAAATCCAATTATAATGAAACTCCACATATTTCATATACCCTTAGCAAATAATTGAATCCCACAGCAATAATTCATAATTCATTTGAGGGAAAAACTGTACATAGAATTAAGAAAAAATTAATTCTTCCTTTCCACAGAGTTATTAATACAGCAATGCTACAGGTAGTTCTTTTAATGACCATTTGAAGTGATTCATGAAAAAATATTTAAACCATTTTTCACACTTAAAACCACTGCAGCATCCCTATGGTCACGTGATCAAAATTCAGATGCATGGCAACTGGCTCAAACTTAGGTTGGTACAGTGTCCTGAGATCGTGTGATCACCTTTTGCGACCTTCTGACAAGCAATCAATGAGAAAGTCAGATTCACTTAATAACAGTGTTACTAATTTAACAACTACAATGATTTACTTAACAACTGTGCTACAGAGGTTGTAAAATGAGGCAAAACTCATTTAACAAATGCCTTACTTAGCAACAGAAATTTTGGGCTCAATTGTGGCCATTGTGTCAAGGACTACCAGTATCTGAATGCCATAGGAGTCATGCTTATGGTCAATAATTAACATTACCCCATCTTGTTTTTCCAGTAAGTTTTTCAGTTCATTCTGTTCTTTAGCTATAGATTCTGACTGTAACTGAAGTTGATGCTTAGCTTCTTGACAAGATTTTTCCTGTATAAAAATCAATATTTAATAAGAATTGTTTGTTAAATTACTAAAACACATTACAAATATTACTAATGAACTCTAATATCCTTTCAAATTAGTTTCAAGAACTCACACCACTGTTGAAACAACATAGATCTAAATACAAATTGTAATCACTATGAATTTAAAAGGAAAATATATGAGCGAATGGAGCAAAAGTTGTTATGTAAAGGACATGATGTTTTACCAAGCAATAATATTTTCTTTTCAAAATAGGCTATGAATTTAGGCACCAAGATTTGCATATAATAAGTAAAGTGGTCAATTAAATATTTGTTCACTACTTTCCATAGTCAATGCCATCACCACTAAGATATTGCTTTGAATTTTCACAGGTAGACTGCAAACTGTGAAATTGGTTACATAGAAAATACTTTTATTTAAAATTCAGCACTCACAATTTCTGCTACAGCTGTCTTTCCTCTCTGTTTCTCTTTCTCCAATGCATCCCTTGCTTCTTCCAAAGATTCGTTGCTATTTGACAATTTACCTTTGAGGATTTCAAGTTCTTTTAATAGAGTATCTTTTTCCAGCTTCATTTTCTTCAAATCATCTGTTAATATTTGCAGCTTTTCTTCTAATTCCCTATGATACTTCAATATTTCTTGATTTAATTTCTCAATTTCTAACTTCAGTTTTTCATTTTCTTCTTCCTGCTTTAATCTTTGTTGGCTTACTTCTTCTAATGTATCATTTTTTTTCTGTAAGTCTAATTGGGCTGTAGATATCCTATATAAATACAATGTATAAAAATGAAATTATTTCAAGTTCAAAATTACATAATTGAGCATTGACTTTTATATAAATTTTCAAATATTCAACAAACTTCCTATACTTTGCTTGGTAAAATTAATGCCACTGTTTCAGTAATATTACTGAATACTGAATTTTATCACTGGAGCTGCCCAGAGTCACCCTGTAGGGGAGAGGAGTGGCCTAAAAATGTAGTAAAATAAAAATAATAAATTATTATATACTAATAAAACAAAAACATTTAGATAGATAGATAGATAGATAGATAGATAGATAGATAGATAGATAGATAGATAGATAGATAGACAGATCGATCGATAGATAGATAGATAGATAGATAGAT